TGCTGAGGGCCAGGGTTTGGGGGTGGGATGGCAGGGGTAGGGGAGCGGTTGGGCTGGGGGAGCTTAAAGGGCTTTTCCAACCTAGACGATTCTATGATTCTATGAAAGGGCTGCTTATTTAGCGGTCGGCGTAAGACAGTCGTCAGCCTTTGTTAGCAAGAGCAGGAAGACGGAGGGCACGTAGGGATGTGAGCGGGTTTTGCGGATGATTCCGCCTGGCTGGCTGGCTCTGCCTTCCCGCTGTGGCTGTCGAGCGCTGCAGTCACGCCTCTCGCTGCCAGCCTGCGCCGGGATGAGAACCGGGCACGATGAGAGCGCGTCAGCTCCACGGCCATGAGTCCTCCGCTGCTGAAGCTCGGGGCTGTTCTTAGTACCGTGGCCATGATCTCTAACTGGATGTCCCAAACCCTCCCATCTCTGGTAGGACTAAACACCACCAGAATAACCACTTCAGATACCCTAGTAAGTAGCTGCGATGTGTTGCGAGCCATCTTAATGCTGAAGAAGTATTTAAGGGCCGGCAAAAGCTTTAGCTCATTGCCTCGTGGTAAATCTCTCTTTAATTAATACTCATCTTCCTGTCACCACTTAATACATGCTTCTCTTTGGGCATCGTAAAACTGCACACGGGTGAGCACGTTGAGGTCTTGCTATGAAAGGAAATATTTTGAAATAGCATCCTTAAATATTTAAGAGCAAATACCTTGGTTATAAGTGTGAAATACTAAAAATAGCACAGCAATGTCATTTAATTTGCCTAAACTTTTTTTTTCCTATGTTTACTGCTCCAGAAAGATGTACTGAATTATTAAGAAAAAAAATATCTGGCAGTCGGTTTCTTTTTGCATGAATGATGTTAGATATGAGTATTTACTACAGTAGGCAAGGGGTCTGATTCTTTCCTATTTATCGGAGTACAGTTAAGCAAATAAACAACTCTTAGAAACAAAATAAAATCGGTACTAGGAGGCTGAATACCCGAATTTTAGAAAGGCTGGTATGGGAATAAGACAAATGACACAAATACCAGTTTGTGTGGTTGATGCTCATATACAGCAGCCCCTTTAATGACAGAAAAGCTGTGGTTGACTACCCATGAGAAGCCTGAAAACTGAAGTAATACTTTGACCGGACAAGAGGAAACGCTATACTGGTATTCATAAATTAAACTGGAAAACCATTTTCCGAAATGTTTAGTAAAACATCCTTCTCTGGGTAGCTTTTTGTGTGACCGCACTCAGAGGTTTACATAATCCTATGTTATGTAAAATGTAAATTTAACTGTTTGTACGGTTGTGCACTGTGCTCAGGACTTTGTCTTTTAGCTGTAACTAAAAATGACACATTTACTAATCAATGTTTAATTAACTGAATATATGCACACAGGAAAAACATTACGAGAGAAAAATTACTGCATTTAGACTTTAAATATCACTACTTTAAAATTAATTAAGTGATGTTGCAAGAAAGAATTCTGTTGTGGCTTGGAGCAGCAAGAAGGTGAGAAGACAAGGAAAAGCTCCGGTTTACTTTCCTTAAACGCAATTCGTGCCCGTTGAACTACAATATATTTTCCTAGTCCTTGTGGCAATGTGATCTTACAAGTAATAAAGTTCCTTATCACATTTAAATCCACGCTTAAAGTTGCAACTGAGTAAACTAAGAGATGCACACTAGTTATAATGCATGCACACACACATATATATCTATATCTCTTTATACACACACACATATGTGTTCATATGTATTAACATGTTTGGGTTCCAAATAATGCCTCCCAGGCGTTATTTCAGTAACACCCCCTGCACCCCCCGGGCGGGAGTTACGTGCACCTTCAGTGGTTCAGGAGGGGTAGCAGGAGTGGCTGGAGAGCTGCTGGTAGAAAAGGCCCTGGGGGGGTTGGTCGAGAGGGGGCTGAATATGAGCCAGCAGGGTGCCCAGGTGGCCAAGAGGGCCAGCGGCATCCTGGCTTGTATCAGGAGTGGTGTGGCCAGCAGGAGCAGGGCAGTGACCGTGCCCCTGTGCTGGGGAGGGCTGGAGCCCCTCTGCTCTGAGGCCAGGCTGGGAGAGTTGGGGGTGTTCAGCCTGGAGAAGAGAAGGCTGCGGGCAGAGCTGAGTGCGGCCGGTCAGGGCTTCAAGGGGGCCCAGAGGAAAGGGGGGGACAAGCTTTATAGTAGGGCCAGCTGGGCCAGGACAAGGGGGGATGGCTTTAAACTGAAGCAGGGTAGGTTTAGACTGGATCTAAGGAAGAAATTCCAGTGAGAGTGGTGAAACCCTGGTAGGGGTTGCCCCGAGAGGGTGTGGAGGCCCCATCCCTGGGACCATTCCAGGCCAGGTTGGCCGGGGCTGTGAGCAACCTGATGTGGTTCAAGGTGTCCCTGCTCCTGCAGGGGGGTTGGGCTGGGTGACCTCTAGGGGTCCCTTCCCACCCAAACCATTCTATGATTCTATCATTCATCTTCAGTGACTTCTTCAGAAGAGTCATCGTTGTGAAAGTCCGTGCTCTTCGCTAACCTCAGGCTACAGCGATATTGCACCTCTTCGGAGGCCAGGAACTGCGGCGTGCTCCGCGCTGCCGCCAGCAAAGCATCGATACCAAAGCCTGCCAGTTTAAATAATCACTCCTTGTGCCGACACCAAGCACAGTCTTATAATATAACTTGTAATTGATTCAACTGTGCCCAAACCAAAATTGCTTCAATGGCATCCATTAGCATCTGTACTATAAAATTCAGCAGTCAATACTATATTACTAGAAAAGAATAATGCATAATATTAACTTTAAATTACAGATTTAAAAGAAAGTAAAATAATTACTTCTTGTGTCCATTAGTCTTAATTCCATCACCTGAATCTTTCCAATCACCTAATTATATTACTTTCCCTCTCATTCTTATGCTATGGATGTCACGAGTGTGAGGGTGCCCGAGCCCTGGCCCAGGCTGCCCAGGGGGGCTGTGGAGTCTCCTTCTCTGGAGATCTTCAACCCCCGCCTGGACGCTGTCCTGTGCCCCCTGCTCTGGGTGAGCCTGCTTGGGCAGGGGGGTGGCACTGGGTGAGCTCCCAAGGGCGCTCCCAACCCCTGCCACTCTGGGATTCTGTGTGTATTCCCATACATCCCATTAAACGCACAGACACGTATCACACGAGGTGTCACACAAACTCTGAATGCGGTGTTAGCCTGCTCTGCAAGCAAACTTTTTTTGCTTTTCTTCCTCGGTGGTGATTGCTGTGAAAAGGAATGGGTTAGGAATTTCCAGAATTATTCTGTCCCAGTGAAGGACATTCAAGGTCCGAATTGCTCTGTGCCGTGCTTGCCACCACCCCCATCCACCTCAACTAACCAGATGCTTTTCAGTTCCGCCGCGCAAGGAGTCACCGGTGAACAGGCTCCCGTGGGCGGCATCTTGGGAGCAAACCTGCCCACCCACATCCCGAACCGCTTCTGAGCCAATTCCCGGGGCGCAAGGCACGTCCCCTGCCCTCTCCTTGGGGTTTTATATTTGTTCTTTCCTGTCCTCCTTGCTTCCATCAGTCTGAGTGAAAGTCATTCAGGCTGAAAGGCCGTGTTTGTTCTCTGCTGATGAAAAACCGTAACATCCCTTTGCAAAGAATTAAATCGGTGAGCTTGGGCTGAATTGCAAGCAGAAAACCGCTTTCATCCCCGCTGGAAAAACTGTGCTGGATGCTTCTAGAAAGCTACTGCAAAGGTGCGAGACATGAGAGAAACTGTGCGAAACCACCACTCCAAACAGTTAAGAGAGCAGTAAGTGTTGACTAGGAGAAACCTCATGGCAAACGTGTGCTGCAAAAATAAAAATATTCCGAGGAAATGGTTTTTCAAGCAACAAAAAAGAACAGTTCCATTCCCTTTATTACTCTGTTGTTACAGACTCAGATCAGCCCCAAGGAAGGGTGGCAAGTCTACAGCTCAGCCCAGGATCCTGATGGCCGTTGCATTTGCACTGTGGTCGCACCTGAACAAAACCTGTGTTCAAGAGATGCCAAAAGCCGGCAACTCCGACAGCTGCTAGAGAAGGTAAGTCATCCCAGCAAACCCCCTCTCGTGATCACTGAACTTCCCAGGGAAATCCACTCCTTTCCCTCTAAGTTTAATAGATAAGGGAGGACTGAAGAGTTATCGAATAGAAATACTCCTTCAGGGTATATCCCTACCTGGGTTCTCACCACCGATGGTTATTTGCCCATTTTCCTCACATCGCACCTTTCCCATCCCAAGCCAACTGAAGTTGCCTCTTCTCTCTTGTTCACTCCTCCCAAAATTGTTCCTTCCAGGCAGACAGGAGTGTTTTTTCTGTGAAAACCAGTTACAAATCCCACCTGAAACTAGACCTAAACCTAAACCACAGCTGCTGCCTCAATCATGTGATGCTCTTGGAGGTCACTCCTTGACTCTTACCAACAAATAACGAGAGACAGACGTGACAGCACCGGCAAAGCAGACCGTACGGATGAGAAAACAGTTCCAATTTTCTTTCATTTGTTCTTTCCTCATGTAATACTATTTATTGGTTCTCCGCTGGTGCAAATTTTCCCTAAACAACCCAATTCTGATTCCCAGTATTACCCGCTATTGCGTATATAGTAAAACCAGTCAAGTGTTATTTTGCATCAACAACAGCAAAAATGTGGCGACCGTGAAAGGACGAAGATGGTTCTGCATTCCCTGCCTAAGTAACCAAGGGACCAGGGATTGCACCACAGCCAGGGCCCGAACCTGGGGCCTGAGGGAGTGCTCGAGCAGCCCCAGAAAGCCACATTAAGAGTAAATACTTAAAAATACATCTTTTCGCATGCAATTTTCAGTATTTTTCTAGCTATAGAAAAATCGCTCCGGTGCTACTACAGTGCCAGATCCCTGCAGACGGGGGAAGACTTCAGTCCCCAGAGTCTCTGCTCTAGCACATCTCCCAAACTCTGACGTATTAACGTAACAAAAAATGAATCTCACATTCTTTTGGGGGCTGGCGAGGTGTTCGGATCTCGACATCTCAATAGCTCTTCTCTGAGCTGCCACAGAAAAGAGCCTAAATCATCAGTCTCTCAAATTTATTTTCTTCTGATTAGACCTGTGGTAATCCTGGGTATGTAAAGTCGTATTTATTCCTTCACTCAGTCCATGCACAGTCGTTTAAATAGAGCCTCTATGCAACGCCTCTTCTGCCCAATGGAAACACTCACTGTTCTTCCAAGACCCAAAGGGCTTTATTTGCCTGCTTTCAACAATTAGAAAGCAAAGAAGAAAGAAACATTACTTTTTCTCATCAAAAATACTTTCCAAGAACTGCCAGTGGCAACTGTGCAATAACTAACGTATACGACTTTTAGGAGTATTTTAAGAGCATTTCCCAAATCCACACATTCTATAGGTCACAATATATTCATCTCAAACACAACGGCCAGTTCAAACATCACACACTCTTGCAAACAACAGGAATGCTGCTGGGTTTGTCTTAATGTTATTAGGAAGGTAGAATTCTTTTTTTTTTCCCTTGACCCAAAAGGTCAGTGCGGTGCCTGATACGTTTACGGCAGCCTACTGCTTTCCTGTTTTGGAAAAAAAAAAAACCACTTACTGAAATGGAATAACTGCGCTTGCAAAACGTGTCATTTCTTTGACTGGCAAAAGCATTGCTTTTATACTGCTTAAAATATATATAATTTCCTCTAGATGACAGTGATTCTTGCCTTGTTGCGGTAAAAGTGCTCACTATAGCTACAAAGTCGTTTCCTATACAAAAGTTACCTGAACACCTGCAAAAAAATGTGCTTTTCTACCAGTCAGACAATTGGATATAATTTCTAATTTTATATCTACTTACAAAATCATGAGCAAACGCCTATGCGGTGATGGGCACCCCCCAGCTTATTTCTGGACAGACTCATGAGTTCCTTATACCGAATTACTATATGAATGTCTCCTAGACATAAAAATCATGCTCTTCCTTCTAACCAAAATCCCCAAATCTCAGTCCCACCCCTCCCGAAGTGCTCGGGGGAAAACATGTGCTGTAGGGTTATATAGTTACAGTTATATAGTTATAGTTTTATATATAGACATAACTGTATACCCTGAGTCAATTTGCAGATGAGAACAAGCTGGGCAGGAGTGTGGCTCTGCTGGAGGGGAGGGGGGGGTCTGCAGAGGGACCTGACCAGGATGGATCCATGGACCAAGGCCAATTGGGTGAGGTTCAACAAGGCCAAGGGCCGGGTCCTGCCCTGGGGTCACAACAACCCCAGACAGCGCTACATGGCGTGGGGCAGAGGGGCTGGAAAGCTGCCTGGTGGAAAAGGCCCTGGGGGGGTTGGTCGACA